GACATCTTGCTGGTGCTTAGAATTAATTCAGAAGGGGGGGCAGAGAAGATGAACTCAGCAACTAATACAAATGGGAACGATGGACTCTTAAGGCTGAGGGCACTGGAGATGTACCCAGCCTACCTTTCAGCTTTGCTTGACCTGCCGTCTATATATTATACACTCATTTATATTAAAAAAGAAAAAAGAAAAAGAAAAACAATGAAGACAAACCCACTTCGGAATGTTCACCAAATTAGATGAGTGTGAGTGTGAATCTGATTCAGAATTGCACCCAACTGTTATAGAATATTTTTTCTGGAACAACAATGTAATTAAGTGAATTACTTATAATTTTCATCAACTTGAATGAAATCAACCCCAAAATTTCCAACCAGTGAATTTCTTAACTGAAGTTACTCTAATCTTACACTGGGAGGATCCTCAAATATTGCAAGCAAATATTGTGCAGCACTTCCTGATCATGTTCAGCATAATATATATGAGAATTTAATGCTCAAAACTTAATCCTGTACCTTTGGTCTATGACACTTTTTAAAATTTAATCTTTATTTTTGAAAGTATTACAAATGTTTTCCTTCCCCCTACCCCATGAACCCCTTCTAGTCTGCACCCTCTCCCCTAGGCCTTCACCACACTATTGTCTGTGTCCATGGGTTACACATATTCATATAAATTCATTGGTTCATCTGTTCCCACCCAGCCACCCCCACCTTTCCTCTGATATTAGACAGTCTGTTCCATCCTTCTATGTCTCTGGATCTATTTTGTTTATCAGTTTATCTTGTTCTTTAGTTTCCACATATGAACGAGATCATGTGATGCTTCTCTTAATCTGATTGGTTTATTTCACTTAGCATAATATTCTCCAGGTCCCTCTATGCTGTCTCAAAGGGTAGCAGATAATTCGTTTTTTATAGCTACACTAGAGACCTGGTGCACGAAATTCATGCACCTGGGGGAGGGACACCATTGGTGCACAATCAAGACTGGGGAAGGACACAGGAATTTGGCCAGCTGAGGAGGGACTGCAGAAGGGTTCTAAGGCATGTCCAGCCTGTCTCGCTCAGTCTTGATTGGCTGGACCCCAGTAGCAAGCTATCGTACCTACTTCTTGGAGCGTCTGCCCCCTGGTGATCAGTACACACCATATCAACTGGTTGACAGGTTGACTGTCTGCTCCCTGGTGGTCAGTGCATATCATAGCAAGCAGTTGAGCAGCCTTAGGATATCATTAGCATATTACATTTTGATTAATTGAATGGTTGACTGGACAACCAAACACTTAGCATATTAGACTTTTATTATATAGGATAGTATTCCATAGTGTAAATGTACCACAGCTTTTTAATCCACTCATCTACCAGTGGGCATATGAGCTGTTTTCAGTTCTTAGCTATTGTAAATAGTGGTGCTATAAACATACGGGTACATATATTCTTTCTGATTGTTGTTTTGGGCTTCTTAGTATATATTTATAGAACTGGGATCACTGGTTATGTATGACATGTTTCTTAATTAAAAAGAAATCTTGTAAACTTTTTTTAAAAATAGGTATCCTTCTACTAAATAAAATAATTTACCTTTATTACAAAAAAATCTAGTTATGCATGATACTCCAACTCCACCTACCCACGTCAGCAAAAGCTTTCTAAGATTTATGGAAATAGTAATCCATTACAATATAGTAAACATTTCTTAAACTTTAGTGTTTCATGGAAGCATATCAGAAAAATTGTTAGTTAATATTTTGAGAAAATGCTCCTGATAAAGAAGTTACACTATTCAATTTTTCACTTTCTTACTAATATATTAAAATACTAATTTGAATCTGGGTTAAAGAAATATGTTGGAATGGAATTATATTTTCCACATTTCACTGTAAACTCTATATTTGCAATCATTTTGTGTATATTTGAAAATATATTTAGATTTAAAATGCTCAATGACCCCCAATATCATTGTTGTTTTTGCGAAATTGAAAACAAAATGAAATGACTGAATAACACACCATTGAGAAATATACTATAAAGTATAACATTTAATAATTAACAAGATAAATTTGAAATTAAAACTTCAAAGCTTGAAGATACTTGAAAAATGGGAGATATTTTCCACTGTGCTGTTGCAACATATATCAAAATAAAACATCTTGGGAAATTTGATTAAAAGGAAAAGGTAATTAACATTGAGTGGGGGGTGCAGTCTGAGGTCCCCTGGCCTGGCACAGGAGTGGGGGCCCCGCCAGGTGGGGGGTCACAGCCTGATATACCCCAGCCTGGCACTGGGGCAGGAGGCATGGCATTTAGTCCCTGTCAAGCAGGGAGTGCAGCCTGAGGTCCCCGTCAAGATCCACCAGGCAAGTGGTGTGGCCTGAGGTCCTCTGGTCCAGCGTTGGGATGGGGGCGGCGGGGTATGAGGTCTCTCAGCCTGGAGCTAGGGTGAGAGGAACAGCCTGAGTTCCCCTGTCAAGCCATGCCAGGTGGGGGGCGTGGCATGTGGTCCCTTGCCCCAGCCAGGCACCGTGCAGCCTCAGGTCGTCCCTGCTCTTTGGTTGTGGTGTTATGGCTCCCGGGCTAATTTGCATAGTCCTCTATTATTATACAGGATATCATAAAAGCCTTATATGCTAAGTGTCCAGTCGTCCATTTAACCAATCAAAGCATAATATGTTAATGATATGCTAAAGCTGCTCAACCGCTTGCTATGATGTACACTGACCACCAGGGGGCAGACCCTTGACTGGTAGGTTAGCTTGCTACTGGGGTCTGGCCTATTGGGACTGAGCAAGATGGGCTGGACATGCCCCGGAGTCCTCCCATGGTCCTTTCCACACTGGCCAACCTCCCACATCCCTACCCAGCCCTGATCGTCCACCTGTAGGGTCCCTTGGCTTGGCCTGTGTCCTCTAGTAATCCACACTGAGGGACATTCGCCCCCAAGTGCATGAATTTTGTGAACCAGGCCTCTAGTTATATATAATTCCCTTCAGCTTTAAATTCATAGATCCCCAAACTGCTCATTTTGTCTATGTATTTCTCTTTTAAAATTTCCCCATGTTTTCATATAGTTGTTTTCATTTTGAGTATAAAGCACTTTAATTAATTTGGTATAAAATTAATTATATTAAACTAGAGGCCCGTTGCATGAAATTCATGTAGTGAGGTGGAGGGAGGAGGGAGGGTGTTCCTCAGCCTGGCCTGCACCCTCTCGTAGTCCGGGAGCTCTCACTCCTTACTCTGGCCCACCTGATCACTGCTCCTCACTACTCAGCTCTATGCTTCTTAGCACTGCCTTGGAGGCGGGAGAGGCTCCCACCACTACTGTCGCACTAACCAGCTGTGAGCCCAGCTTCTGGCTGAGCATGTGGGAGCGCACTGACCACCAGGGGGCAGCTCCTGCATTGAGCGCCTGCCCCCTGGTGGTCAGGGTGCATCATAGCTACAGGTCGTTCTGCTGTAATGGTCACTTAGGCTTTTATTATATAGATTACTTTTGAAAAAAAGATAAATATCATATGATTTTACTTACATGTGGAATCAAAAGAAAACAATGAATGAATAAACAAAATTCAAACAGATTATAGATGCAAAAAGCAGACTTGTGGTTGTCAGAGGAGAAGGGGTTGGGGGACTGGGTGAAAGAGGTGAAGGGATTAAGAAGTACAAATTCGTAGTCATGGGGAGATAAAATACAACATTAAATGCATATGATGCCAGGGGGTAGTGAAAATATAGGGGAGAATACTGTTTAAAATATATGATTGTCTTAACTACTAGGCTATACACCTGCAACCAATACAAAATAATATTGAAAGTTAAATGTATTTTGAAGTCAAAATAAATAAACAAATTGCACTACTTGTCAAGATGGACTTCTTTAGGTTAGGATTACCTAAAATTCTAAGGGGGACCAAAACCTCAGCTTGTAACAAGCATTTCTTTCAAGAGGAATACCTAATGCTTTCTCCATCAATCTTTGTCACTCTCATGTCAACAAATTCCACATAACAGAAGTCACTGTCTGCTACTGAAACCTGCATCAGACACCTGAAGACATTAAAATATAAAGCCACGTCCTGTCTCCATCAAGCGTAACAATCCTCCTCACATTTATTTTATTTATTAAAAAATATACATGTTATTTTATTTGGTTCATAATAAGCCTATAACAACTTCACGTTTTGTCTTTGCACTGGGCTGAGCCAATATGTTTTCTTAGACATCTGAATGTCACTAATAGAATTAGGCAGATTCTAAAAGGCAAAGAAATAGTATGGATAATACATAAATTATTTGAATGTGATAAATTATTAGAATGCTATCAATTTATCTTTGTTTATAAAACCTATCAATAGGAGTTGGCTGTCAAGTCCCAATGTGATATAATATATATTACAATGTCATTGAAAATTCTGATCCACAACTATTCTATCCTATTTTGTTCATCCTTTGCCCCTGTTTCCGAGGTTTCCTAATTGTTGTTATTAAATTTCTGAAATATAGCAGCAGGTAATTGAAGTTTATTGCAGAATATTTAAACATGCAATTACAATATATATGGTACTTAGAACAACAGCTTAATATAAGATACTTCACAGCCTGATTGAGCAGAGCCACGAATAAAAATTCTTGCAGCACAACCTTAGGAAAGTTTTAACTAACCCTGTTAGAGCAACTGGAACACCCTGAGCAAGACCATCACATTCCAGACTTAATGTACAATATACACTATATTATTATACTCTAAATATCCAGATGTATTGATTGTCTGTAGGACATTATATACCCAAGAGAATAAAGTAGTAAAAAAAAAATGCAGCCAGTATACACATGATTGTAGAATCTATTTTGATATAATTTAATCACACATGTATATCTGATTTTAAAAATACAACTTATAAATATGAAGAGGATAGTGGAATGGCATATTCTTCCATTTTGTGGTAGCTTCTGAAAGCAGATTACAATAAATTTAACAAATAGCGTGAGAAAATTTACCTTGACTTGCAAACTTCAACTCTTTGGCATCTGTGAGTGTGGTCCTCTTGTCAGACCCTTTCTTCTCTATCCGGCGATGGCTTCGCCTTTTCTTAGACTCTCCCCAGAGATTGGATCCTCCATGCATGCTTGGTATATTCAAGATAGCAATTCCTTCCAGAGAGATGTTTATTAAGTCTATCTGAACTCCATCACACTGATCAGTAAAAAGAAAAGAACAGAAAGATAGTTTGTCTTTCTTTCCTTGATTTCTCCTTCTGTGTTTCTTTATCTTTTAATAAGAACTTTAAAATCCATAATCCTGACATTTTTAAATAAGCTTTTCAGGAACACTTCAATATTTACCCTAAATGTCCATATAAAATATAAAACAGACAATAACATTAACCTGTTATACATACAGACTCTTTAAAAATGATCAAATTGAATCATCAGTGTCTTTTTGTTTACAGAAAACCTTTGGGAAAGAGATGCATTAACATCTGCATGTATAAAGAGTTATCAATTTCCAATGTGTTACAAAAAGCTTGACTCTGGGAAATTTGGTCAAATTTTAGGTGGACATTCTAATGATTGCCTCCTATTTAGAACACATTTCAATTCACTATTAAGAGAAAGTAAATAAGAAGATACTTTTTTCTTTGAAAAAAAGAAAAGTTCAAAACAGAATTTGCAAGAGCTCTGAATTACATTATAATGGCCAATGATGAATTCTTGCTTTTCTTTTCTAGATTAAGTTCTAAACACAGAGTTAAAAGCAATGAAACACATAGTTGTCTAAATGAATATGGAGGACGAGGCAGGCTGAGTGAGGGAAATGCCAAAAGTAGCAGTAAATGTAATCGCCAACTCATCACCACTTTATAGCTGCTGTAACAATGAATTAAAAAATAAAAACCATTAATTAGGCAGGTTTTTTTCTGTTTGTCTGGAAAACATAAAACTTGCTAACAGACACAGTGGTAAGTTTTAAAATATTTTTAATTCTCTCTTCATTTCCACCAATGGACATGTGCAGAGAGTGACAGGCTATACTGTATTTTTGGAGTCCACTCATTTCTTTTGAGTTTTCTAAAATGGTAGTAATTCCAAATAAAACCCAACCACTGTTCTCCCATGTTCGATTGTAAGTCAATCTGAGAAGAGAGATGTAAATACATAAGTTTAGTTTACAAAAAAACTTCATTGGGAATATGTATTTCAGAACCTGAAGGGTATCTGCAGTGCGATTGTTTTATGTATCATATCACAGTCCAGGAAAAAGACATTGAGAGCAATCATCATTTTCTTTCTCATGGCTATCACAATTTCTGAACCTAGAGGAGCTAATGCTGCATCAACACGATAAAAACAAAAAAGGAACAAATAGAAAATCTTTATCCTTTTCCACTTCTGCCTCATCCCACTGAACCTCATACTGCATCTTAGTCACTAAAATGTAAACACCGTTAAATAAAGCACCCCAACTTGAGCCTACTTGGCAGGGCTAGAAGCAAATTCAGAGAAGGTGCCAAGTTTTCATTCAAATGGCTTCAATGAGGGTGAAACCAAGGTCTGGATGATGTCTCTTCCCCCCGCCCCCCCACACTCCTTACCCCCACCCCAAAAACAAGTGATTTTTTTTCCTCCCTTTTCATGTATTAAATTAAGATGATTTCTTTTTACTAAAGCATTCTACTCATGTGTATATTCACTTACTGCTATATATTCTAGATAAACAGATATTAATTTCATAATTAAAAGTAATCTTGTGTAAATACCCTGCAGGCCTCAATGAATCAAACACATACTGTGTGTCAGGCCTCCCACTGTCTTCAAGTGGAATGTACTGGCTGGATAATTAGATAGTACATATTTTTTAACCTTATTTGCATGCATATTATATCTTTTGCACACTGACAAGCAGCAGTAACAACAAAAGTCAGATTACCACAGGGAATTCCCACAAAGAAGTCTTCATTCCTTATAATTTGCAGCCTAAATTAAAATAATTTGATCTTTGACAAGGATGAAATGTCAAGCAGAAGGGGGTCCCCTACAAGCCATGGCCTGTGGCTTCTGAAATCTGCCTAATTTATGTCAGTCACTTCTTAATACATATTTAAGTATTACACGAAAAAGATGATAAATATGCAATCTGACACCTTTGGTATTTCCCTGCTGTTAATTTATAAAGGTCTGGTTTCCCCCCAAACCGGCTAAAATCACTTAAATAACAGACGAATGGAGAAATAAACTGAAGTTGGGGGCCTGGCTTCCATTTTCACTCAATATTGAACACAGCAGGTAGGACACTAAGACAATTAAGGGACTAGGCCTTCGAACCCCACTGTGACAAGTTACTTTCAGAATTAGTGAAGAAGTCTTCCTTTGTTCTTATGCCTACAAGGAAAGCACATTGGCAAATTGGCTTAAAATAACGAACTGGGGAAGCTACATGTGACAATGGAAAAAATATCAGTGTGTATATTATTCATGTTTTCAGTATTCAGTGTCTGGTTGCATGTAGTTTTAAAGAAACAGAGTAAGTAGCTCTTTAACAAAGTTTTAAAAAAAATCATCGAGTCCCAATAAAGGATTATGAAGAACACTGAGGTTCCTATGAGGGGCGGATAGTGTACTTACATAAATCGCTATTTATTAATGATTTGTTTCCACTAGTTCTTGACCCCAGACTACCTTCCTCTATTTGCTTTAGCATTATGTTTGTTAGTCAGGAAACTTTCAGTGCTCGTTCTGATGGAGACCAGGAATTGTCTGGTGTGCACCAGCAGAGTGCATGGGAATAAAAAGCTGAGGTGAGAGCTATGAAATATAAACAAGTTATAATACCGTGTCAGATAATATTTTCATCTGTTTCGAAGATTTATGATTTTTTAAAAAGTAGCTACAGAGGAAAAGAATGTAAAAGCTTAAAAGCTAACAGCCTCGGTTAGTCAATAAATCCAGAGTATTTTTATTATGTAGAAAAAAGGTCATTAGTATATGGTACTATGGGAGCTATTTGCAAAGTGCAAAGCTGGGATGCCACTGTCTACTCTTTTCGGTTTTAAAGGGAAGATCTTATTCCACAGAAATTTACCTAAAAGAAAAGAAGATGGTTTAAAAATTATTTTTTTCCCAATGCATTTGAATCCTGGTTTACTAATCTGCCCTGCACCATACTATACAAAGATGTTAAGGGAAAGCTTTTATATGTGAATTTAGTGTTTTAGAATCAGTTAATTTGATAGGAAAATTCAAAACATGAGAGGAACACTGGAGAGCTGTAAATGTGGATAATAAATTTGATAAGATAAAATTAATGATAAACTATAAATAAAATTTTTCATAGTGAGTATAATTTTATGTTGAGGTCAGATAAAAATTATTCATATTTTGCTTAATAAAACATAAGACCCTTAGGTGCCTTTCCCAAATCATTTAATACAAACTTTTCTTTTAATATATTATATTGAAATTTTAAAACTTTTAATTTTTCATTTATCTTTTGTAACAAAGTTAGAGGATAACTGATATCCTAAAAATTGAAAATTTCAGCTTTGTTAATATCTCTCTCACTATATACATTATACGTTATCAGTTTATATACATATACACATATATGTGTTAAATCTACAATTTGTTTCTTAGATTTAAAACTTTTGGCAGCAATATAATTCTTATTTCTCATAAATTATTAAAGAAAATGTTCATCTGTCCAATTTTGCAAAGGAAAAGTAAAATCTCTTTAATTTATAGGATTTTGAGGCAGACTAAGTCAAATAAGTAGGTCCTCAGATTATGACAGAGATCTATTCTTATGGCGTAATATAACCTGATTTTCACCGTTAAGTTGGAACCCACTTACATAAGCACTTATGTCACTCACATAGAGCACATACAAAGCAATGACATGAAATAGTAAAAAAAAATTAAAAGAAAGATAACAATTCTTGACCTTTACTTGTGGTAAATTCAGTAAATAATAAAAGACATAAAGCACATATGTACATATGTAGAAATGACAAATCTTTTTTTTAAATAAATAAATGGGAGATGGTGATATAACCACAAAATTGCATATGTGGAGTCCAATGTAAGCAGAAAACTATCTGTAATGTGTTTGCATTGTTTAGCACCAAGCATGGGGTTTAATTAATAATAGGTAAAATTTATCTGTCTATAATAATAAAAGCCTACTATGCTAATTAGACCGGACAGCCAAACAACCTTCTGGACATCCTTCTGGACAAAGCTGTGGTGGCAGGGGCCAAGGCAGAGGCAGTTAGGGATGATCAGGCAGGCAGGCAAGTGGTTAGGGGTGATCAGGCAGGCACGCAGGCAGGCGGATAGTTAGAAGACAGCTTCCCAGATTGACAGAGAGATGTCCAACTGCCGGTTTAGGCCCGATCCCACAGGGGTTCCGGATTGTGAGAGGATGCAGGTCGGGCAGTGGGACCCCCACCCTACCATGCATGAATTTCATGCACTGGGCCTCTAGTATCGTTATAAACTTGTATCTCATAATATTCATATTATTCTAGATATTCAACTATTTTGGAAAAAACTTCCTGTATAAAAGAGAAATGGGAAATGAAGGGTCATGCAGTAAATGTGTTTTGAAGAGGCTGCTTATAATATATATATATATATATATATATATATATATATATATATATATATATATATATATATATATATATATATATATATTCATTATATGAGGCACTTTTGTACTGGAGTGGTTTTATTTTCTGGTATATATTTTCAAACCATAGTTGGTGTAATTTTAGGCCAAATAGGAAGCAACAGGAAACAGAATCGAATTTCCAAATTGCTGTTTTTGTTATATTTAATTATGAAGTAACCTTGAGGGTAGAAAGGAATATTATACTAATATGATAAACTGGATTCATTAAAAAGTAGAGAAGCAGATTTTATATCATCATCCTTAAACACACACACACACACACACACACACCAAATTTTAGAATTAAGATGAATACATAAAATTATAACAGTATTTTAAGATTTGCAACAATAGAATGGAAAGTGCATGGCTCTGGTTCTGATTTATAAATGTTACTATAGAGGTTTCCAGAACAAGCCGGTAAAGTGCAGAGATGATAAGTCAGAGGTGGAAGGCATGTAAAGAACACAGCCTAAGATAAATAATTTAGTTCTATTGCACATATTGTTTTGGAGAACATTCTAAATAGTTATTCTATAAGATGTCAATGTTTTCCACGATTTTCATTAAATATCTTTTGTTATATGATGTAACCTTTTCCTTGAACATTTTTTATTTTGTGACACATAAATACATAATTGTGTGAATATATCAATCCGTTCAACTACTGAAGAACCCCTTGTTTGCTTCCAAGTTTTGGTAATTATTAATTAAGCTATTATAAATATCCATGTTCAGATTTTTGCATGGACATGGTTTTCAACTCTAATAAAGTATAATTGATGGACTGTATGGTAAGAGTATATTTAGTTTTGTAAGAAAGAGAGAAATATAAATATCACATGATCTCACTCATTTATGGAATATGATGAATAACATAAACTGAAGAACAAAACCAGAGACAGAGAAATATCGATCAGATGCTCAAACCTCAGAGGGAATGTAGGGGAGGGTGGGAGTTAGGGGGAGAGAGCAACCAAAGGACTTGTATGCATTCATATAAGCCTAATCAATGGACACAGACAACGGGGGGGGGGGAGGGTTTGAGGGCATGAGTGGGAGTATGTGGGGGCAATGGGGCAATAAGGACTCATATGTAATACCTTAATCAATAAAAAATAAATAAAAATCAATATTTAAGGAGGTTTGTTTCTGGGATCTCTAGCCTGTGCCCTTGATTTATTGGTCTATTCCTTCACCAATATCACGCTGTTTTGAGTGCTGTAGCTTTATACAAAGTCCTAAAGTTAGATAGTGTCAGTCTACAGATCTATTCTTTTTCGATTTGTTCTGGGTCTTTAACTCTCCATATAAACTTTAGAATCAGTTGTCAATATTACAAAATAATGCTGGGGTGTTGATTGGGTTTGTATTGAACATATAAATTAAGTTGGGAAGACTCACAACTTGAGTTTTCCTACTCATAACAAGGAGTAGCTCTCCTAGATCGTTTTGTTTTTTTCCCCCCCAATCTTTGTTCAGTAGTAAGTTAAGGCAAGGAAAGACAGAGCATGTACCCTACATTCAACCAGAAGCCATATTTATAATTGTTTTCCATTTTTGCCTTCTTCCTCAGATTTTATTTGAACATTCTGAGGGCAATAGATGTTCAAATATCCACAAAATAATGGGTTTTAAAAAATAACATTTCAGGAGGGGAAGGGAGATTTAGTCATTTTTAATAAATATATGTGCATACGCACATATACAATAGTATAAATATATAACATTATAAATATATAAATAATAGTAAATTAGAAAGGTAGGATAATAAGGAACCACACTGGCCATTATGATTCTACGTAGTCCATAACTATGTTTGTTTACCAAACTTATTATCTGACTATATGCCACTAATGATTTAGGTCTCAGAAGACAAGTTATGCATTTATTTTTTAATTCATATTTCTCAAGTCATATCAGCTAATCATTAAATGTTCTTGATTCATAGTTCTGATCCTATGGTTTGTCTTCAACACTTATCAAAAGTTAGCTATTCCTTTTTCTTTAATCCCTAAAATCTCTCAATAAAACTAAGTCAATTTCTATTGTAACCCATCTCCAAAACTTTTACTTCTAGTGTCTATATATTTTCGTAGACCTATTTGCTACAAATCTTTTTCAAATATATCTTTTCTTGCTTCTTTGCTCTCTGTCTTGGCTTTTCCACTTGCTATAAATGTAATGGGAAAATGGTAACCCCAGGAACTGAGAAAATCTAGTTAATGAATGGAATGGAAAAGTATACTTTTTAACCTGCATTCATGAAAGTACAATTTTCATGAACTATGTTTTAAAGGTTATAAGATACTGAGACCTGAAAATAATAAGTGTTTTATTTTTTTAATGTATCTTTCAACTTTTCTGTTCCAGTACCTTCTTTCTCCTTACTTTTTTTTTTTTTTTACCCACACTATGCCCAGTAACTTCTCCATTGGTTTCTAAAATTGTGTTCCAACTTTACTTTTATAGTGTATGAAAATAACTCATACTCAAACTTAACTTTATACTAATATTTGAGATAGCACTAGATTCCCAATGACTGACAGAAGTAAAATTGTGGATAAAGAATCATGGATAAAGAAAGCTATATGGATTGCTCAAAACTTAGCTCCTTCCATGGACTATCAAAAACATACTAATAACCAAACTCAAGTCATTTCATAGTATTATAAGAGAATTAATTTTTCTTACTTCTATTTCTACAGATTCATGTAGCTTCTTGCAGGTTGCTGAGAAAGTTTCAGAGGTTCCAAACTCAAAATACCAAAATTTGTTCTTCATTCTGAAAAAGAAAAGAACAAGCCATTTGGGCAATTATAAATAACAGAAAGGAATTTTTAAATGAGGTAGCCCTGTCTTGTGTTATAAATGTTAGAAAAGGTTTGAGGACACGAATCATCCATGCGGTAATAGATGGCCACATAATTTTCAAAGCTTAAATGTCGGTGTCAAATTGTATGATTGTCCCTGAGGGAATTACAGGAATGTATTGATCTGACAGATTCAAGTATATCTTTGACTTTTCTATATATTAGTTGTTCAGATTTTAAAATATGATTTTAGTGCTTATTATTCTTAGCTTGTTCGTGGATGACTTCATCTTAGACCAGCCATTCATAAAGAGAAAAATGTATTGGCTTTTCATGGGAAAAAAAGAAACTAAGTAAAAATGTTTGATTTTTCTAGATGGTTATGTATTAAAAAATTGACATAAGTATATAGCATATTAAAATGATAAAACTTAGTATTAGGGGAATAACCCTTCATTATTTCATTAATATAGGGTCCTCTTTTATATGAACAACTAGAGGCTCAGTGCATGACATTCATGCACGGGGGCGGGGGGGTGTCCCTCAGCCTAGCCTGCACCCTCTCCAATCTGGGACCCATCAAGATATGCCCTACTGTCCATTTAGGATCGGGCCTAAATGGGCAGCCAGACATCCCATCGGACATCCCTCTCACAATCCAGGACTGCCGGCTCCCAACTGCTCACCTGCCTGCTTCCTGATTGCCTCTAACTGCTTCTGCCTGCCTGCCTGATCACCCCCTAACCACTCCCCTGCCAGCCTGTTTGCCCCTAACTGTCCTCTTCTGCAGGCCTGGTCACCTCTAACTGCCCTCCCCTACAGTCTGGTTCCCCCAAACTGCCCTCTCCTGCAGGCCTGGGTCCCCCCAGCTGCTCTTTTCAACAGGCCCACTTGCCCCCAACTTCCCTCCTCTGCTGGCCTGGTCACTCCTAACTGTCGTCCCTTGCAGGCCTGGTACCCCCAACTGCTCTTCCCTACAGGCTCGGTTGCCCCCAACTTCCCTCCTCTGCCAGCCTGGTCACCCCCAACTCCCCTTCAGGCTTGATTGTCCCCAACTGCCCTCCCTTACAAGCCTGGTCCCTCCCAACTGCCTCCCCTGCTGGCCATCTTGTGGTGGACATCTTGTGTCCACATGGGGGCAGCCATTTTCTGTGTTGGAGTGACAGTCAATTTGCACATTACTCTTTTATTAGGTAGGATAGAGGCCTGCTGTATGGGTGGGGGCCAGCTGATTTGCCCTGAAGAGTGTTCTGGATCAGGGTAGGGGTTCACTTGGGGCATGGGGCGACCTGTCGAGGGACCTGTGGTGGTTTGCAGGCCGGCTATGCCTCCTGGTGACTCAACTGGAAGCCAGGGCCAGTTGGAAGTATTTGGGATTTATTTATCTCCTATAATTGAAACTTTGTAGCCTTTAGCATAGGCCAGGGCCAGCCAGGACCAGGAAGCTTGGCTTTCTCCATCGCCAGGGGAAACCCAAGCCTCCTGCATGCTCCAGCTCTGTGGCCGGTGCCATCTTGGTTGGGTTAATTTGCATACTTGCTCCTGATTGGCTGGTGGGTGTGGCTTCTGGGTGTAACAAAGGTACGGTCAATTTGCATGTTTCTCTTTTATTAGTGTAGATAGTGGGAAATTATGATATAGCATATAAGAGCTAAAGATACAACATTTTACCAATATAACAGTTTCAAAGAAACTATAGTTTAAAATCTTTCCGTAATTAATACGCAAGTAAGATATTCAAAATGTATTTTCTCCCATGACCCATTGAGCATATCTTTATTTCTTTGTGACTGTTAGTTCAATTTATGATCATTTCATATAATTTTACAAAACTTGACTAGATTTTTATTTTACAAAGTATTGGATTCAAAAATTTAATCTCATATCAAAATGCAGTTTTTAATCATACATATGCTAATGAGGTATGGATATTAGAAGAAAATCTGTAAAATGAGATACATGCTTTTATACATAAAAATAAACAGAAATAAATTGTTTTAATATTTAAGTATGCCCCTCCCATTAAATTATTCTTTTTGGCATAAATATTGCTATGTGCCTTTTACATTAGCATGTAGAACATTTTAACAATTATAATTACCTTTGGCAAGGACCTTACTACTTAATTAAATCATATTTTACTTATGAAAAATTACATAAAACTCAACACAGTGCTTATTACTATGCTATATTGAATATAGTTCTGATATGACATCACAAATTATAAAAGTAATCTCATTCATCTAGATGTAGTATTCAATATTTTGCTTCATACAAGATTTTATTAATTTAATAAAAAAATTTCATTAGCTCTTCTTGTATTAATCACATATTAAGACCAATAATGAAGACCAATATAGATTTCAGTGGATTTTAACACTATTCTTTTCTAGAGAACATTTTTTTTCCAGGGGGGTGGGGGGGGATGGTTTATGGCCTCATTTCATATATCTGAGTACATAAAAATAGATGCTGGTAGTTAGATAGAACTGGAATAAACATTTAACACCAAGATCCGCATGTCTGGACCCACCTGCAAATTTATATGAAAATTAAAGCAAATACCTAATTTATAGTTGTATGTCTACAAATTTGTACAATGGCTAAAGTTATGCAAAACTGAAAATATTTTTCTAATGAGCAATCATTCTGATGAAAATTATATCACTTAAAATATTGAGAGAAAAATACTGGACTGTAAGTTAAAGTGGTCTCATGACAACCTTAAAATAATAATTAGCTGACGTTTCATGATTGTTTAGAATTGTTTTCTACATCCAGTAAGCTTTTTACCAGCATGTTTTTTATATGGCAGTGGTACCCAGACCTTTCTGGATTCATTTATTCATACATTCATTCATTTAACAAATGTTTAGTGAGAACATTCACCTCCATATGCTACTGTGTCTAGTGTTATAGATACAAATATAAATGCAATTATCTTAGTCTACAAGGAGTTCAGAATGTTGTAAGATTATGGGTATATAATTTAAAATTTAATCTCCATGTGAAATATGAGCAACATATTGTGAGAAAACACTTCAATAAATCAGCTACTTTTACCTGAGGGAGTCCAGAGTTTTAGAAGAGAAAGTGACATTTTAATAGCTAAGTAAAAGAAGGCCAACAGGTACTGAGCATTTTTAGGAGTGCAATGTAACTTCAGAGAATACTGACTGCAAGCTAACAAGGGTGTGCTTCAGAAGCATGTGTGCCAAGTTAAAGGGTTTAAACTTGAAAAAAAAATTTTAATATATTTTTATTGATTTCAGAGAGGAAGGGAGAGGGAGGGAGAGATTAAAATATCAACAATGAGAAAGAATCATTGATAGACTGCCTCCTGCATGCCTCCCACTGGGGATTGAGCCCGCAACCTGGGCATGTGCCCTTGACTGGAATCGAACCTGAGACGTTTCAGTCCCTAGGCAAATGCTCTATCCACTGAGCCAAACCAGCTAGGGCTGGACTTGAAATTATTGATTAACAGGATGCACACAGAAGTTTATTGGCAGTGGAGTCACATGGCCAGCCTTGTTATATGGACAAGTAGGACTAGCAGAAATGAATAAGTAGGCTGGAATGTTGAAATGCTGGCATTGTGAACAGAAAAGTGGTTGTTGGAATAGTACACCTGTAATATAATTAAAGGCCTAAACCAAGTTGCAAGGGAAATAGAGAAGAGAGGCTCATATCAAGAGAAATAAATGAAATGGAATCAACAGGAAATGGTGATTTTAGATTAGACTGATTTATTTCATATACGTAGGTCATCTCTGGAACCAAGTGGAATTGCAGAGCATTTACCAACAAAAGGGCGGTGAGCTTATATTTTGACAAGTTCCATGACCTAATGTATATTGAATTGCAGTTTGAAAATTAAATATAAATACATGAAGCTTCTGATAGCATATAAATGATCACTCCTTATTTGTTTTCCATTCTGTCCATCAAAGTTCCTTATAGTTTAGTTGGGATGATGAGGAGCTTATATCAGCTAACCAAGATACACCTTAGTAAACACAAGAAAACAGACATTCTGAGAATTTACATTCAGTTTTTATTCACCGTATGAGTTAGCATTACTGCTCATGTGCAAAAGCTGCTTTAAATTCTCCATTATTACAGGCATTTTATGCTTCACTTAGATAAATATATGGAGGTAATAAAAAGCACATAGAATCAGATTCCACATGACAAATTAAAAGCTGTTAAATTTTATTTTTTTTCAACCCAACTGGTCTTTGGGTTGTAGAAATGCAACAAAACCCCACCACACTTAAGCATGTGTACTATTTATTTTTACAGCTCACATTAGAAAATGATAGAAATAATTCAAACTCAAACTTGTTAGAGAAAACATAGAGCTTTGGATTTAAAAATAAGAAAACTGGATATTTAACCCACTGTGAGATATTCAAACCAAAGTCTTATTTAAAGCCTTCATACACAAAATTTGTATTTGCGAACATGATGAGAAACATTCTACCAAAAAGATTTATTTATACTATTATAATTTAAGTTATCAATATATTAAAACCAATTTCAGTTAATTTAATTGTAAGACTATAGGTTTTAGGCTAATATTTAAAGTGCTTGCCTACCAGAAGTTCAGATAAAAATGAACATATTAACTCAAATTTGCCAGGCATTTTCTTAAACACAGGAGTAAAGGAACTATTGGAACTTCTTGCTCAACTAAAAAATCATTCTTGTCTTAATGAAAGTTAGCTAATATTGAGTAGTTCTCCAAGTTCCAAACTTTCAAATAAGTAATTTAATTTCTAGCAAAGTATGTTTCTTGGAATTTTTCTTCCTGGTTTGAATGGGGTTTTGCTTGCATGCTTGCTTGTTTGTTTTATTTTGGCTTTTGTCTGCTAAGTAATTTTAAACTAGCAAATATACAACAAAACAAACAAAATGTGAATTAGTAGTGCATTTAACAAAAGGAGTACCAAAGAACCTAATTAGTTAT